GTCTCTGGAGAGACAGAAGGACTGAGACCCTTCAGAGATCCAAATTCAGGCCCTTTGGAAATCCCTGTTCATTTTTAAAAAGTGGAAATTCATAGCCTTCAGTGGACTTTGTTTTATAGCTTTAATTGAAGTCCTGATTTATTCATGTGTTCTGCTCCTGGACTTGAGCTTTGAAGAGCCACACTTTGAGGCAAGAGCTTCCAGTCTGGAACACCTGAGGCTTGTGGAGTTAGATAAAGTCCAAGGTGAGGCCAAATCAAGTACAAGTGTAGAGCCAAAATATATCTATTCCTAGTGTTCTTGAACACTGATCTAGTAAAGTCCAAATTTTTCTTTTTGAAGTACCCTCTGCGCTTTAAAGTGACTGATGTAGTAACTGTGTTGCTTTCATGACTCCTTTTGGTTTATCGATTGATAGGAACAGATCTATAGCATTGTCCAATATGGTAATGATACAAAGATATTAGTTTGGTTTTTTTTCTGGCCAAAATTTTTTGCTCGTTTTAAGCAACAGAAGGACTGCACAAGTGAGATTTGTGTTGAAGGAAGGGGTTTGTGGTTCTTTCTCTTTCAAAAACATCGTGATGAGATTGCCAGTCAGAAATTGGATAATTTGTGTTGAATATATCTGGTCTCAGTCCAGAAGAATACTTCTCTCCCCTTTTGTTTCCATATTTAAAATTGTCCTTTCTTCTAAAATGAGAATGTTCACCATATTACTACAGTTAAAATTTCCATTTGTTTTAATGAGACAGTATGAGTTAATTGTTTCAAAACCTTATGAAATTTTATGCTTCCTTTTATTTGTTGTTGCTTAAAAAAAAAATAGCCCTCCAAACCTCTTAATTTTTTTCCACTGCTGTCACTTTATGGCTTCATCTTTGTTATAAGAGACCTCAAATGGTATAAACTAGCATAATACCTTCGCTTTCTACAACATAAATACATCAGCTAAAGAATAGACCAAGATTACTTTAATGGAGTTCCCATGGCCCCTGCCCCTTGCAGAGCCCGTGGCTAAGGGACCGTTTTCTCTCTCAGAGTGCTGTAGACATAAACTTTTCCTGACACTGGTTTTGTGACTTAAGTAGTGTCCAAATGACCTGGGTCTAATGAGTATGTCAAGCTTTTGCATTCATAAAGCAGCTTGGCTTTTCTGGTTAGAAAACTCTCTGTAATGTCAAGAGAAGGTCTCACACGTTTCCCAGCAGAGGGGCATAAGGGTTGCAGGGGAACACTGTGTTGGCAAGGCACAGGCACACTGGGCTTGCTTGCTTCCTGGGATAGCTGGCAGCCCAAAAGAGCAGGTAACTACTTATTGCAGGGTTATCTTCAACAGGGACGAAACTCTTTAATTCAGCTTTAACATCCACTGTGTCTATGCCCTCTCTGGCTGTGATATGTATGTGATACACACATCATTGACAGCAGGGATGGAAGGACCACGCTCTGAGGCTGTGAGAATGAGACTGTCAAAGCACCATGCTGGAAGCAGAAGCAGCCATTGGAAATGCAATGAAAGCACAATCCAACATGCAGGTGTGTTTAGTTGTACACTTTGATTGTGCCTCAATATATTTTTCCATCTGTTTTCTGATGTTTTGAGAATATACTCCATTGCTGAATCAAGTAATGTAACCTTGGAGAAGAAAAATCCTTTGGGTTAAGGCTTTAGAATAAGAGAATTAATCTGATTTGAAAATCCTGTGCTTCTGAGGGTCTACTTTTGTCATTTACTTAGTTTAGAAGATGAATATGGGAAAATATATTATTTATTAACGTTGATATAGGCACTAGGCTGTAGCTTCCTTTTATCACACACACATACATTAAAATTAATAGAAAAGAAGCTTCTAGCAGTTTGTTTGCCTATATGGAAGTAGAAGTAGAAGTCTCCTTATTTTTGTAAATTATTTAGCAGTGATAAAGATATTTTAAACAGCAGAATTGTGGGTGCTCTCTTTGTTTTTGCTTGCTGACTTGTTTGAGTTTTAAAGACAGTTGTAATTTGAAGTGCTGCTGGTATCTCTAAGCTTAGAGAAGACTGAGTGTCTTTCCTTGCAGTGTCATAAAGTATGCAATGGCTTTTAAGTTAATTTTGCCAATACTGATTATGGATGCTAATCACTGCTTCCAGAGAGGCTAAAAAAATAGGTGCTATAATTAGTGTATAGATGGGGTAAATTTTGGAGTTTCTATGTAGGCACCAAATTTCTACGTCTAGATTAAACAAAACCTGAGTTAAAGTGGTGACACTTGCATTGATAAATATACAGATGTTTGCTGATATGCTACATGAAAGTTTGCGCTTCTGCCATATGTTCATGAGGGTTGTATTTGCCTGCTTTACACAGAAGGAGATTTATAACTGCATTACAGGCCATCAGTGACTATTTCTACTACAAGTAAAAGACTTGTTTGGGAACCTAATTTTCTTTCTTTTGAACTTTTCCCTCCCCAGCCTTCCAATAGCTGCCAAACCATGCAGTGACTAGAATATCTGTTCACCCACACAGCTAACTCAATTTTCATCCATGCCTCCATAGTGTGAGACACCATGTTCTGCTAGAGAGCACTGTAACAGTGTGTACTGCATAACAAATGTGTAAGTCTAAGGCTCAGTTTGTAAGTGCCCCTAAAACCGTATGGGCTGTACTATAGTCACAATTTAGGAGATAGTCACATATTCTTTGAAATACATATAAATACCTACATTTCTAGCCTAAATTCATAGCAATTATTTAAAAATAGTGTCCCAAAATGAATATATGACTTTTAAAAACCAATTAACAGCTATTGTTATCAATAGCAAGACAAGGAGATAAAAACATTATAGCTTATATCTCATATGGCCTTTTCTCTGCCTTGGAGTGCCACAGATTGGGTGTGGGTCACACAGAATACTGTAGTCAAATTGTGTTCAACAATAGCTTGACTGGATCTGGACAGGACCTTCTAAACACATCGTGATTCCCAGAACTCGGCTGCCACCCTAAGGCCCAGTAGAGCTCCTCTGCTGATTATCAAATACCTACAGACCATCCAGGTCATATAAGGTTCTTAGCTCTGCTTTCTAAATTAATGAATTTCTAAACTAATATAGTGAAACGCAGTACTCCACTGCAAACTGATCTCAGACAGGGAATGTGGTAAGAGCTGGTAGCTCCCTACACAACACAAAAGACAGCCTGGGATCCACCTTACCTTCCCTATTGCTGTTGCTCATCAGAAGGGAAAGATGGAAGTAATGTAGACCAAAGATCCCTTTAGGTGTAGTGTGTAGAGGATCCCAAGGAGGCTGCAATAAATTTAATTTGGAGATTCAGAAGTTTTCATAAATGAAGATGCAGGACAGATGAGCAGGAAAGGACAGAAGAAGTTTTGGGTCAAGACCAGGAATAGATTGTATATCTCCTCTGAGTGCAAACAGAATCTCTGTCTCACTTTGCACAATCTCTGTGGTCATTTAGAAATTCTGTGATTTTAGAGAAACACTAGGTATTATTGGTTTCAGTTAAACATTTTTTACAACTGCAGGAACACTCTCAATACAGACCAAACTCAGTATGAACCAAGTTGCTTTTGCCAAACTTCATGCAGCAGAGCAAATGTATTGTAATGGAGATGTCCATCTCTCCTGCTGCAGATTGGCACACATCCCATGTGCACAAATAAATACAGATCCTGTGTCTTTGAAAGGTATGAGTGTTTGTAGTGTTGCTTGTGTGTTTATTTAGTGAAGTTGGGGTGGACGGAAGAAGAAACAAAAGAGGAAGGGTGAAGTTCTAAAACATTAACAGGCGTTAATGTTAAACTTCCTTTAAAAGCCTTGTGGTTACCAAGACCTTGCATGCTTTTAAGAGTCTGTAATGTCTGTCATTATAGCACAGGTGATACCTCCATGATGCCATTTTAGATGTGAGTGGAGGCATGAACTATAAGCAGAAGAAACCATTCTGTTGGATGCGATTGATGAAGATAAAAACTCAGTTTTTGTAAATAATAGCAACCCACACATCGTTTAGTTGGTATTAATTCAATTGATATCTTCATCATGATGAAGACAGCCTGAATACCACTTCAAGTGTCTAGTCAATGATGAGAGCTAAGAGCCTCTGAAGACTTTCAGGAGTGATTCACATGGCCTAAGATGTTGAGTAGGGAGTTGCCTGAAACCACTCAGTAGGAGACACCTGACACATGGCTTTGGTGCATTTAGAACGTGTGAATATAATGCTCAATGATTAGTCCATAAACACTTTCAAATGTGTTTAATTAACTCATTTTTTACTAAGTCTAAATACATATAGCTAGTGCACACTTTGAAGCTCAGCACAGCATGAAAGAGGGTAGATTTAGATAGATATTAGGAATAAATTTTTTCCCGTGAGGGTGGTGAGGCAGTGGAACAGGTTGCCCAGAGAAGCTGTGGATGCCCCATCCCTGGAGGTGTTCAAGGCCAGGCTGGATGAGGCTTTGAGCAACCTGGACTAGTGGAGGGTGTCCCTGCCCCTGGCACAGGGGTTGGAATTAGATGATCTTTAAGGTCCCTTCCAATCCAAACCATTCTATAATTCTATGATTTAACCCACTGAATCACTGCTATAATTTTTGATGCCCTTCATTGATTCTATGTTTCACGGGGGCTGAATAGCACAGTGGAGCAAAAGGGTTTCAAATTAATCTTAATAAGATGGTGGGTTTGATTTGTCATCTTCCCTCTCTGACAGAACACAGAAGCAGCAATAAATTCAATATACCATGCATATGTGAAAACCTTGAGTAAGACAGAAGGCTTTCTTTTCAGCTCCTTCATGTGACATTCCCATGAGCAATACAGGACAGTAAGTTTTAGCTGAGACTATTATTGCACGACTAGTTAGAAACTCCTGCTCAACAAGTTCTTTATGTCAGCATGAAATGAAGTATCAAGTAGAGGAGTTTGTCCTCATCCAGACTAGTTAATGTCTGTTAATGGATGAAGGAATAATATGGGGGTTATGTTTCTGGACAACCAGAAGGTGGAATGGTCTTCAAGCACTTTTGAAAATATAATTCAGATTGAGAATGATCTTGACAGATTGGAGGAGTGGCCTGAAGTAAACAATAGAGAGTTCAGTAATGACAGAGAAAGCACGAGGCTTTGTGGAAGTTCCTCAGAAAAAAAGAGGTGGCAATGGTTCTTAGTCATAAGCTCACATATGAATCAGCAATATCACAGTGCACTGACAGTCTCATGGAGTGATGTACAAACAAGAATTACATGGATTCTTACAATCAAAGTGATCCTTCCAATCTCTACTACAGCCTTAAGAGGAAGATTTTATACAGTTTTCAGCAGCAAATATTAAGAAAGAGGGGCATTTCCTTTCAGTAACAGAGGACTGTAAGCCAAGAAAAAGGGGTTTAGAAAAGGTGACACAACCTGGATTGAGAGACACTTTCTCATTCACAGAAGAGGAAACTGCAACAAACACATTAAAATGCATCAGAGGTGGTGGAGAGGAGGAAGGCAGCAAACTGCTTTTCATCCTGTGTGTGTGGATCAATTTCAAGTGTTGGTCTGGGCGTTCCTGAGCTCTGGAATATAAACCCGAAGTTGGAAAATGAGGCGGTGAGCTGAAGGGTTTAGAGCTCCTGCATAGGTAAAAGGAAAATCTGGCTGAGAGGATAGCTGAGCATGGGGATGGTTTTCCTGTGGAAGTTTGAGTGACTTAATCACTGGAGTTTTTAAAGAACAACTTATACCAACAGTTCTTGAAACGGTTTATGCCCTTGCTCGCCTCTTTTAGAGCTGGTTGGATTCAATATGCTTTATGTAATTCAAAGGCTATGTTTAATTTTGGCTGTTGATACCAGCTGCAATGGCTGAGCAGTTTCAGAGTCTTTCTTGCCACTTTCAGTCCCAAACCAGCAGAACCTCTTCTCTGAATCTCTCTTCTCTTGCTTAATTTCTGGTCACTTTATAGCTCTCTCCACTTTATGAATAAAATAAATGAAAGAGGAAAAAATATTGACAGATTCAGTATGTATTTTGTTATATTCCTTCAATATTTTGTCATAAATAGAACGAAAGATGGAGGGGAGAAAGGGCTTTTCTAATCATACAGCCATAATCTTACTTTCTAGTATACCCAAGGTCTCCAGTGATTACAAAGACTTTACATTCGTATTATTGCTCCAGCAGCTTGAGTCTGGGATGTTGTTGTCTTCTACAGAATTGCTAACAGTTTGCACAGCAAGAGTATTGCATAGTGGTATTGCAACCTGATAATGCTGTGGAAATTCTTTAGGGGGACTGGTGCAATACAAAGCTTTTATATGTATCATAGGTGGAGTTTTAGTAGGTATCTTTTGTGTTGATTCACATGCATTTATAACTACTTTTTATATTGATTGATATCACGCCTGAGACAAGTATGTAGCTCTTCTTGGAATGCAAGCACAGTTTTCAGAAGACCAAATTTTGACAGAATTGTACACAAATAATTGGTGTCTTGTTTTTCCCTTCCTTCCCCCCACTTTTAGCTGGCTGTGAGGTGGTTGGAACACAACTGCCGCTACCAGTACATGGATGAACTGCTCCAGTATGTCCGCTTTGGCCTTATGGATGTGGATACACTGCATACCGTAGCTCTTTCTCATCCTCTTGTCCAAGCTAGTGAAACTGCGACAGCACTTATTAATGAGGCCTTGGCTTACCATCAGAGCGTCTATGCACAGCCAGTTTGGCAAACCAGAAGGACAAAACCTCGCTTCCAGTCAGACACTCTTTACATTATTGGTGGGAAAAAACGTGAAATCTGTAAAGTGAAGGAATTGCGATACTTCAATCCGGTAGATCAAGAGAACGTTCATATCGCAGGGATTGCAAACTGGAGCGAGCTAGCGCCTATGCCCATGGGGAGAAGTCACCACTGTGTTGCTGTCATGGGAGACTTTCTTTTTGTAGCTGGTGGAGAGGCAGAGCACTCCACAGGGCGCACTTGTGCGGTGAGAACTGCCTGTCGATACGACCCCCGCACTAACTCTTGGGCTGAGATAGCTCCGATGAAGAATTGTCGGGAACACTTTGTGCTGGGAGCAGTGGACGAGTACCTCTATGCAGTGGGGGGCAGAAATGAATTGCATCAAGTGTTACCTACAGTGGAACGCTATTGCCCCAAGAAGAACAAGTGGACCTTTGTACAGTCCTTTGATCGATCGCTCTCGTGCCATGCAGGATATGTGGTGGATGGTCTTCTTTGGATATCAGGTAGAAAACGTTTCACACAGTTTGAGGTACTTACAAAATACCAAAGTAATGTCTCGAATGAAACTAATAAATATTCTTTTGTTTATATGCTAGGATAACTTTTGTCTTAGGAGATGGGTATTTCAAAGAATTTAAGCCTGGAAGCGTAAAATCAAGACTGATGAGAAGTATAGGAGCATAACATAGCTGTACAATATTTTTTGTCTGCTAAATATCTCTGTCTTTCAAAGCTGCATATATCATACGTGCTACCTCCACTCATCATTCATAAATCACAGTGAATTGAAATGATAATGCGCTTTTGGACATATTTCAGAGGACAAATTCTGTGTGCTGCTTAAAAACAAAAATCAAGACCCAGTTTCTGTAGTATGATCTGGTGCCACTGTGTTTGTTTCTGATAATGGAATGGAGAATTAAGTGTTTGTTGGCTTGCGTAAATCCAGGGCTTGAAGGCAGGTTTATGAACTGCTCCCGGTTGCTCTTCAGGATATTGTAACAGGCCAATGTGACCTTTGTTAGAAATCACACATGGCTCTGCCTGTCCATATCTGGTGCCGCTGTGTTTGTTTCTGATAATGGAATGGAATGGAGAATTAAGTGTTTGTTGGCTTGCGTAAATCCAGGGCTTGAAGGCAGGTTTATGAACTGCTCCCGGTTGCTCTTCAGGATATTGTAACAGGCCAATGTGACCTTTGTTAGAAATCACACATGGCTCTGCCTGTCCATAACAAGTGCACAGGACTGCCTGGATGTAATTATAGCTTTATGGCACAAATAGATGAAAGTATAGTCTTTGTAATCATAAACTAACATATCATTTGCAACTCAGTCTGATTTACTTTTTACTTTACATGTGCACATTGATGGGAGTTGAGGACATTGTGTCATCAGTCTTTGTAGTGACTTTTCTGGTATTAGTTACTTTGGAATAAGGTCGATGCTGTCTACAGAAGATTTGACAGAAAAATATCCACGTTCTAGTGAGAAGGGTTTAATGGAAGGTTATAGAGTTGTAATATTTATCAAGGAAATTAATGAGTAAATGGGGCCAGCCCTTGAGGAAAATGTTCAGTGATTGCCATCTTCACTCTAGATACACTCTGGGGATTTTAATATGGTCTGGGATCCCTCTGGTGAAAAGATGGTATATGAATGAAAGATGAAGTTAGCTGCCTAGGCCTTCGCGGTGCTTCTCAAAGTATGTCGTTTAGGTTAGCGGAGCTCCTTGCAGATGTATCTTTCTGCCCATGTGGATTAAATGGCATTGAAGGAGTCCTGTAAAGTTTGTTTTGTGTGTTAATCTTGAATTGTGCCCATGGTGGGCTTTGAGACCCAGGTATGGTACAGAAAAAGGTTTTCTGTTTTAGGGTACCAGCTCTGCATGTTCAGAGCATTACCCTGTTTATTCACTACCTTCCACATTTTATCAGTGGAGAGGTATGTGTGCCTGTGATGGGCAATTCAAATACATGGATGCTACTACTACTGTGTCTTGATCTTTTTTTGTTTTTTCTCCTCTTGTGGTTTACGTTTGTCAGTATCTATTTATGCAAAACAGGACTTTCAAGGACATTTTGTTAAATATATTAATATAAAATCTTTGAGCACTAGAAACATCTACCAGAGTATGGTCCTTGCTCCAGTACATACGTTTTTTCCTGTACAAAAAACAAAACAAAAAACTCAAGGAAGTATTTATTAGAGATTTTTTTTAAGTCAAATGTGAGATTGTTTGAAGATTACTTTAAATCTTTCCAGGTATGCTAGGAAAGGGAAAATTATGCTGAGGATCAATTAATGTGCTTGGTTACGTAAGTGAAATGTACGCCTTCATATGTGTTTAAATACTATCTGCATTTATATAATGAAGCAGTGTGATACTGTGTTGAAAGATATACCTCTAATACAGCTGTAGAATCAGGGGAAGAGGTAAATGGAAGCCTATTAGATGAACTCTTTAAAACTGGGAAAAACAACAAGAAATATTTTATGAGTGTTTTTCCATTTAGATTTGAAAATGCTACCAACACAGCTTCTGTTGTAAAGTCATACTAAGGAGCAATGTTTTGGCAGCGGAATAAGATAGACAGGACTTTTCAGTTCTATTTTGTACAGTTTTTGAGAAATATTGAGCAGTTTAGAGTTGCTAGATTCTGGCAGGTTATGAATTAAGAGAGCATGCTATGCCATACTTCAGTAGGGTATTGATCTGAATTATGTACTCACAGATTGAAAACTGTGTTCTGTGTATTAAATAGAGTTATTTTATAAATAAAAGTAGATGGAGATATAATAACCCTAGCTAGCTTTCAATTATTAATTAATTGCTTAGGGCCAGAATGTAGCCCACTGTACGTGTATATTCAGGTGCAGGGCTATAGTACCCTTATTGTTTCAAAAATATCAGTAGTCACTGCTGAAAAAATCCACTGTTCATCATCAAATATAAGGTGTTAGCATAAGAGTAATCAGTGATGCAGGAGGGAACCTGATTTTGAAGTATGTGGCCTAAAATTAAGTAATTAAAAAATTAGTCTGAGTTAGGAATGTTTCTGAGCTCTGTCCCTGCTGCTTCTCTGGGAAATATGGGTCATCAAGAAGAGCTCTCAAAGTCAGTCTGCTATTACCAGCTGGGAATGTCACCATGAAAATATGCCCATTTTTTTAGGAGGTGAATAAATAGTGATAAGCTTCTAGCCCTTGTATCTGTGGAGTCATCAAAACATGACCTACACAGAGACCGTTTACTTTATAGTGAAAGCACCAGTGCCTCTGCTACAGCCCCCTGTCTTCTAAAGGCTTTGCTAATCAAAAGCTGATGACACTTAAGGGGTTTCTATTATTATTATTGGGATTCATTGTCAGCTTTGCTTTGCTACTCCTTTGGGACAAATACAAGATGGAATAAAAAATAATAGAGCACAAAATCATGGCCAAAGCAGCGTGGAAGGGAACTGTGCTAAACAAAAGGCTGTACAAGCGTAAGCACACGCTGGCGGTAGGAGGTGGGTGGCCAGTGTTTCAGGTGACAGAGGGACTCCTAAGCTGCCATCACCCCTTTGGGGTTTTTAACCTGCCAGCAAGGCTCAGAGGGAGATTTCTGTAGTCTAGAACTAGTTAGACCCTCTGGTCAGCACAAGTGGGTTCAGCTCTTGAGTTTTCTGAGTTCCATATAATGTGGAACATATTTTTATCTTTGGGTCACTACTTTTTCTTGTCCTCCCCCC